GGGGGGGGGGGGCACCCTGAGGGACCCCCCCCCTCCACACGCTGACAGTCTCTCTGCTCCCTTCCAGTTCAGGCAGACCAGCGCCGTCCGTCTTGGCTGCTGGGGACGTGGCCTCCTTCCCCGTAGCTCTGTCTGGTGGGAAGTCCACCTCCATCTACCACTGGCAGATCGCTCAAGCCCACGGTACCCGCCCCCCTTTCCAGCTGGATCTTGGCTGTGGGCCGGGGGGGCGCACAACTGGCACGAGCCAACCCCACCCCAGGGTGGAAAGGGCGGCAGAGGAGGAGCTGGGTCTGGCTGGCCCTGAACCAGCCCCAGGAGAAGCCCTGGGTGCCTCCTGGCCAGAAAGGGGCCAAAGTCGCCATTCTCTTGTCCTCAGTTTATTTCAGCGTGACCCCCAAGCAGCGAGGCAGGCTATTGGGGTGGGTGGGGGGGCTCTCTCTTCGGCAGCTCCTTCCCCTCCATCGGGGACCTGCAAAGAGGCCGCTTGGCTCAGAGCCACCCCCCCCGGGGGGGGGGGGCGGAGCCCCCGGGGGGGGGGGGGGATTGTCCAAGCGGGGCACTCAGCCTGCCCCGACCCTCTCGAGGGCAACCTGTGCAGGAGAGCGGGGGACAGCCGGGAGCCCTTTGGCCCCTGCCGCCCAGAGGGAGTGTGGGCTGGTTCCCCCATGTGTGGCACAGGGGACTCGGCTGAGCCCAGGGCTACACCCACCTGCCAGCCCTTCTGCATGGGCCCCGCTGGGTCCCTGACCCCGCCCCCCGGCCTCCTGAGCGCTAGGGACAGCCAGCGTCCTCGTCCCGCAAGGGGGGCAGACGGCCTGTCTCTTTCCTGCCCAGGACATGTGGCAGCCCTGAACATGTTGCACAGGCAGAAGCCGCTCCACACGGTGCCTTCTGGGCCAAGCCGCAGTCGAAGAGCATCCACTACGCAGGTACAGCCTGGAGGGCAGGTGGGGGGGGATCGTCTGGATAGGCCAGTGAGATGTACAAGGTGCAAGCTCATCGGTCAGGGTGGCCTTCTGGAGCTGGACCTCTCCCCGCTCTTTCTCAGGCTACGGGCCGGGCAGACGGAGACGGTGATGCCGAAAGGTGAACTGGCTCAGGAGAGGTTCCTCCTTTTCTACCTCAGGTGAGCAGGACCCAGAGAGGCAAACCACCTACCTGGCTTTCAGGTTCAGGAGATAAGCAGGCTCTACGCAAGGGATCTTGGAGGGAGCTGGACGTCTCCCATTTGAATCCTCCTTCCTACTGGGAAGATGGTGACCTCCCCTCCACCTGTTTGCCACAGTTGTGCCCAGGGGGGGCAGAGGGGGAACCCGGCTTCAGTCTTCAGTCAGCATGATGGGGGGAGGTTGGGGAGGAAGCAACTGCCCGTCACCCCCTTTGGGGTGCTCTGCACCCCTCCCCATCCCCAGTCGCCAGCCCCTGAGCTCTTCCTCGGCGGGGGGGGGGGGGGGG